ACTGTCAGTTCAGTGTTTAATAAAAAAATTCACCTTTTTGACTGGAAATAATTATCTTCAGTTCATGTTACATTACGGATCAGCTCTTGGCTCTCTGTCAAGATTCATATTTTTATTTTTCTCTGATTTCATACTTTTCTTTCTGAGTGCAAAAGACAGAAATCTACACGTTTTCAAGAAGATCTCAGGAATATCTTTTACGGTGAAAAACAACAATGGTGAAAACTAACAAGAGATATTTTTCAAGACTCCAGACGAGAGCATGACATATTCGTGAGCTTTAAATAATTGGAAAAGAGAGAAATAGCGGAGCACGTATTAAACCATCGCATCGTGCGATTCGAGAATAAACGGTTCTGTATCGGAAAGGGTTGATACCGTCTAGGGTTAAATTGTTCGTAACAGTCACACTACTGATAAGCACCGTGACACATATGTAGGCGGGGAGCATATTCGCCGGCTGCGAATTTACGATATCCGCTTACGACGAGCCGTCGCGCATCGGGGCCGCTGATAAAAGTAGACGCGAGTTCCTCCCCCTCCCCCCTCCCTTTCCACCCCGCGAATTATCGCCGGCGAATTTACGGCGTTATCCCGTTATCTCGATTGGCCCGAAACGTGTGTGCGTACGTCAACGGGGTCCGGAAATGGCTACAGATGAACGCCGACAGCCAACGAGGGCTCGGCTCTTCCGCGCGACGGTAACGAGTTCGGAACGAGACGTTATTCCGGAGTGGGAGGCAGGGTTTATGGCACCTGGACCCGGGGAACGCGAAAGTCGATTCTCGTCCATCCTGCCGGAAACGACAGACGGCCGTTTTATGATTTATCTGTGTACTAGAAGAGGGTTATACATGGGAGCGAGTCGTTCCCATAGTGACGAAGAACTACGGCCGATCGAATTACGGTGAAATAACGAATGGTGCGATCGAACGTACGAAGAGCTTGGGGGATAACAAAAACTGTTGAGCGAAATGAGTTTTGGAAACGAGGGAAAAAGAATGCAATGATATTTTATGGTAATTTTGAAAACAAACGATGCCAGAAATTGCGCAACTGAATTTAAAAAATTTTAAAAAGAGAAACAACGGCGACGCTGAAAAAATGAAGTGTTCTTATATCTTTTACAAAAATAAATGCAAAAGATAATTTTATTTATAGATTGTTTTTATTTATTCTGATTTAATTACACAGCGTTGGGGCTTTTGGTATAAAGCACATTCAATTTATTGTACTTTCTTGGAAAAGGCGGTAATAAAAGTTAAGAGAGGTCAAAACAAAATATATTAAAATTGTTATAAAAATAAATATTGTATTATTTTTCAGTAAAATTGTTTTTCAATTTATTTTTCGTTAGATATAAAACATTCACGTCAATTACCATCTTAGTTGTATTAATTTCATTTTATTATCTAATTTAAGTAAATTTAATATCCAACTTTATTTATTCCAGTTTCTTATTTAACATTTATTTAAACTTGATATAATTTCAACTATTCTTTTTCAATAACAATAAAATAACGTTACCTTCCTATTACTTTAATGACAAAGCTAATTTAAAGCTACAATGCGTGGCACTCAATCATTTAAACGCAAGAGAAATTAGTCGCTTTTTCAATTTCTGGCATTTAAGGGAACTGAAATAATCTCTCTTTTATGACATACAGACCGGAGCAAGATTTGTGCACTTCCGTCTGGTTACACGCAAAAATCGGAATTACGGAGGACGGTATTAGACGAAGGGACGACATTCGGGTCCCTTCGGTGGGAACATCGCGGTATGAAGTTTCTTGCGGCTGAGTTTTTACGATTTTCCGTTCCGCGCACGGCGCCGTATGGTGGAGCTTTGACGCCGACGGTCTCTCTCTCTCTCTCTCTCTCTCTCTCTCTCTCTCTCTCTCTCTCTCTCTCTCTCTCTTCCCGCGAGTAGCTATAAAAGGACTAAGATCCGCTCCCGAGACGAAACCTTATTCCCTTTGCCTCATCGCGTCGTCCTTTTCCGCGCGACTTTCCGTTCTCGCAAAGTTTTTTTGCCACATTTCTCTCTGAACTGTGTGCGACGTCCATTATCACGGCGCCGTTAGCATTTCCGATCTTCTCGCGGAAAAATATTTTGACGATTACTTTCATTGAAAGGTATTGCCTGCTTTGTTATTCGTGATAACGAATTAGAAGTGTTTCGTTTTTATTGTTGAACATTGAATATGATCTTATTTGCGTGATGATACTGTACGAATTATAAAGCAAAATTGAATTAATATACATATATATTTCGAGATTCCTGATTTTTATTGCTAGAGGATAGAAATATTTTCCCATTAAAGGACAATATGCTTGCATTCGGTAAGAAATTTATTCCCAAAATATCATCGTTCAGTTTAAAAAAGATTTTACATAAATTGTAAGGAAATATACATTTTCTAATAATTTTTGTCAGTTTTTCAACTTTTCTTTTTTATTATTATCAAAGTTAACTATCGCAATTGCTTTTCTCATTAGACAATTACATAAAAAAATGCAAACTTTTACACTTAAAATATAAGTGGCGTGGTTACCAGAAAGATTTCTCTTTATCTAATAATTTAATCTGTACAGAACGGGAAACTACTGTGATGCCGCTGAAACACCGTCACTTTTTGGGACAAGGAATACATTGAATTATGTACGCAGGAGAAATGCTGTAAGATTTAAAAAATATTTCCTATCCCCTCTCTAAAAGTTAATGAATTTTTGTTAACACATGTTTCTGTTTTTTCGACCTATCCCAGCTATTTCTAAAGCCCTATATTGCAGTAACATTGCATCAACGTTCCAGCAATATTGCGAACGTTGCAGAAATATTTCTGCTATGCTCTGTATAGGAAACTACTATTATTAAGGTGGTCGTATTCAAACGATCTTATTCAGAATCATTTATTTCCGAATTCCGGAAGAATTTTTAGGTTCCCTTTTAAGGATCCTTTCTCTAAGAAAGGAGAAAACCTCTGGCAATACCTTGTTTATTCTTCGGTGCTCTATCGAGAGAAACTTTTGGCCCGAGGCGCCACATCGATCTTACCTTTTACCCTGGTCAGTCTATTCTCATCTCTCACCCCACGTGCAACACCTTTTCACCTTTGATCTCTCTCCGCCGAATCGCCATCGACCACCTATTTTTATTTCGCTACAACACACTTGCACTCGTATACCGGAAAGCTTATTTATTTCCCGCCTTCGGACATGACCCGCTGGGCTCGCATATAGCTTCGTTCGTTTTCGCAAGAACGGCTGGGAAAAACAGCGCAATGGAAATGGGCGATTTGAGAGCGGCGGAGAAAGGTCAACTTTTGATTAAAGCCGCTTCCGTTCTCTCCGTCTCTGTTTCACTTGCGCGCGGATTTTGGCAATATTTCCAAAAGAAACGTCTGTCCCCTTTGGGCATCCCCTCGGGATATTTGTGACCGTGGAAGTAATACGAAAGTTGTATGATTTTGCAATAGGTTGACTTTGTGAGCGCAAAGAGAAAACAGAATAATTAAAAAAGAATTTATATATTCTAGAGTTATTTTTTTACTTCACATATATTACATATGGATATAGATATTGAACCCTTCATTAAATTGTAGAATAGAAGACTTGAAAGAGAATCAATTCAACCGCTTGCACTTTTTCCGCTTTAATTAAAAATTCAGATATAAAGTCAAATATTTGCGATTTACAAAAGTTCTAGCTATTCCATAAAATTTCACGGTTTTTGTTGCGTTTCTAAAAAAAATTCAGGCAATTAATATTCAAAGTGATATATGCAAAAATGAAAAATTTGCAAATATTTTTCAGTTTTTGTAAAAAAATTGGCAATTTATAAAAAGTGGATATTAAGTTGAAAATATACATATACGATATAAACACACAAATTTCAGAATCGAATAAAATGATATATTAATAAATAATCAATATATATCATATCTTTCTTATAAAAATTATAAAAATTCACATAATATATTATTTGGCACTAAGACTCACCTTGGCCGAATATGGCCTTCCTCACAGATTTGTGTATAAATTTTTATTAGCTACTTACAGTTTTTATTAGTTGCTTAATTTTTACTATCTACTTGACTCACGTCTTATTATAATTTATTAAAAAATTACTTAATGCTTTTTATCAAGGCTCCATATTTTTATACATTCTCCTTTACGTGATTTTACTGAAATGAGCGAGTTTATGCATCAAAATGAATGAAGGTTGTCCGGCAAGAGAATGATATTCCTTTTTAACGAAATTGAAATTTCACATCGTCCTTTTCCTCTCACCGCAGCTGTCATCGCTCATCGCCTATTATATCAGTTTCTGGATGTAATATACATGAGAGAATCGAAAAGTACAAACAGAATGTCAGCGAGCGCTTACGATTCATTCCCGTGTCATTCACAGCTTCACCCTAGTTGTCAGAGGGGAAGTAAGATAATCGGCCAAATGTAATTTCCACCGAGTTGCCAGCGCTCTGCTGACGTGCGCCGTTTTCTCTCATCGCGTGACACGGCGATTTAGTAGTTCTCGTATCCTAATTAAGAACTCCATTTCGTGATTCTTATTCCCGATAGAGTCCAACGAGGTCGACGTTACCTGCGGATGTTACTCGCAATTAGAAACCAGGTATCCGACATGTGGTCGTTGCAAAATGTATAGAGTTCTAATTCGAATCTAAATTGATAATATAAATATAACAATTTTCTAGCCAAATATTTAAATAATTTTGATTTTAATACGAAATAATTATCTCTAAGAAAAATTAATATATGAAGAAAAATCTATATTTACGTGGTTTATTGAAAAAATTTGTTAAAACCTTTTTTATTTAATCGATTCTTTACAAATATTCTTAAACTAACTGCAAATTAATTATTGTTAAACCAAAACACAATTAATTTGCTATTTCCTCGCGCAATCATTAAAACGGTATAATTAAATTGCGAAAAAATCTATGATAGCATTATCAAGATTTTTTACTTTTCCGCCTTTCATAATAAATGTAGATACTTGTATCGTTTAAAAATAAAAATTATTCGTTTGTTTTTGTACATGGTAGAGATTCCAGGTTGTGAGGTTCATGAAGTTAATCTTTGATGTTTCATTAAGTAATAGCTGCGGAGTTCGGTTACCATTGGATATATCTCACTCCTTCTAACTTCTACGGTCGGTTTGCCTTTCCCGTGCATCACCGTAATTAAAGTCAATATTATAGCTGTACTTACCGGACGATACAGGAAAGTAGAATATCAGGAATCTAAGTAAAGCGAAAGGATATTCAAGGAAGCGATTTATATACTTATGCGTTATGTATGTGTATATATGTATATATTTATAATCGCGGTCATCATAAAAGTACAATAATAGCTTTATATCAAATCACAAGGAGAAAGTCAATATTCACACGAGTAGGCGTGGGCAATGGCTTTCGAGAATATCGATTCGCGGATCGTTGCGTAATAGTTCTTTTTTCTTCTTCTTTTTTTTGTTCATTCATAAGTTTCTTTTTCATTTTTTTTTTTTTTTACGATTTCCCTCCTCTCATGCGATCCCAACGAAACGGGGAAAGGATGGATACGAGCGAGAATTAAAGAAATAAGTAAGAATAACGTGGAAAGTGGGATATTAAACAAAACATTGGAGTAGACAATCAAGTAATAACAACAAACAGTTTATAAAACGCATTGCTTGTGTCGACGGCATGTGTTGTATCAGCTTGGGAGGTACTGGAATGTGACGACTGATGTCACAGACGCGTCGGATAACTGGGCGATCGCAGTAAGAGTCCGTTGGTTCTTTCGGGCATGCGAATTGTATCGATTAGTCGAGACGATCAGGTTTAAGATAGGAGAACGAAGCTCACGTGCGACGATCTTCTTTTTCCTCTTCCTCCGTGTCAGTCCTTCACCTCGTCTCTCCCTCCTGGTTCATCTCGCTATATCGTTTTTCTTTCGCCTCCCCCTCCTGATCCTTGCGATTACTCCCCTTTGTCCGCTCATTTGTTACTATTATCATTTATACAAATATATAACAATATCCATTCATAATTCACAATTAACGATTACGATTACGTGGTCCGTGGTTCAGCCTAATGTACGGAGGCCACTTTACGTACATGTCCCTTCACCCTACTTAATGGGGTGTTGGTAGCCTTCTAGAAGAGAGGTGAAGAAAGAGACGCGCTTTTGTCCTTTCGATAACTCGATCGTCGATTGCGTCAGGAAGAATGTTGCGCGAAGAAAAAATCGATTGACAGTTAAAGAATGCTAATTAAACGAACTAGATTGCTCTCGACTCTTGCAACGCGCAACGATTGAAACGTATTTATATTATCCGTCGCTTGGATGAGATTCTACTTACTCGCGAATACACGCGACGATGATATAGTGTCGACGGGATAATCGACGAAGGCTCGGCGTTACTTCGGAGACAGAAAGCGTCGGAGGGGGAACGCGAAAGGGTGTGGAAACAAGGGTGTCACTAATCAGGCACTTCATAATGTCCTTCACCCTTTTTCTCCGTGTTTCGGATCGTTATCCGTGTCGGAAGTGTCTTGGTGTGCGCGACGATGGTATCGATGACGCACTTGACAACGATGACGGGCAAAAAGTATATCTCTAGCTAAAACACATTCCTTGTACATTCACACATTCACACGACCGTACTACAGTCATGTAAACAACAATCACACTCACTCTCACTCTCTCTTTTTCTCTCTGTTTTCCTCTGTCATTTTGTTCATTCATACAACACTCTAACGGAGTTCTACTATCACGTTTTCGACGAATCTTCTTTCTTTTGCTTGCTCCTCCTCCTTCTTCAACTCTTTCCTGCCCGCTACGTATTTACCACCATTTTCCTATTTTCTTTGTCATCACATGTAAGGGCTATCCTTGGACCTCGCTAATACAAAAGCACGTAACTTCTGACTCGCGAACCAATCACAATCGAGATTCGTCGATCTCCCTGCGACTCTTCGACAAGAGGTCATTAGCTACGTCGTCTTTAACGAAATCTAGGTCATCAGCTCCGTCGAATCGTCGGCGTCCACGTCTTCGGACGGTTCCACTTTCACGGCAAGCTGCGTATATCCCATATTGGTCTCCCTTCTGCCGGACCAAGCCTGTGAATAAAATAATTGTGATGCACATTTATCTCTTTTCGCCCTTACAAATTTATTTTTCGAAAGCTATTATATGTAAGTTATATATTTCCAGTTATAAATTTAAATTTAATATTCTAATATAAATTCGTATATCAAATTCTTTTAAATTTGTATTTTTTATTGTATATACATGTACCTGAAGAGCGACAAATATCATCGCGAACAACGCAATCGATGCTAAACAGATGGCAACTGCCATGGTGGTGGCTGCTGTTACGGCGAGTGAAGCTGAATCATTGTTACTTGTTCCGCCATAATTGTTGTATGTCTCAGAAACTGCGGCGTTGGCTGAGAACTCCGTCCCCGGTACTCTCCTTTTGCCAGCCGGCGAACTGTTCCTGCAGCCGCCTACAAATATTAAAAATATATCTTTAATAACTATATAAAGATATTTATAATGATAAAGCTGCAATATAACAATAATAATAAAACATTGTATATTTAAAATAAAAAAATTTTATATTTAAAGAAGTTATATCTTTCCTGATGAAATATTCGCTGATAGATGCTGATCATAAAAGGTAAAAAAATACATACATTTTACTAATTATACGAATATAATATTAAGACGTAAACGTAAAAATTACCAGTTTCTGGATCACAGAGACAACACTCCTCAGCTTGAGGTCCCTTTTCGTTGCCTGTGCAGCATGGAACGCACTGATTGTTCAATTTGTCCAAGTGCAGTGGCGGCGAGCATGCGGCACAACTAAATTTGCCGGGACCGGTACATCTGCGGCAATCAGAATGACAGCTCTTGCAGAGCTGAGTCAAAGAATCGTAGTATTGTGCCCCTAAGCATTCCATGCACAGTCCACCTTCCAACATCGAGTGAGCTGGACACGAAGTGCATTCTAGTGGACCTTCACCTGGAACGAATAGTTTCCCGTTTAAATAAGAAACATGAATTTAATTCGACAGCAACTGATCAATTGTAACTCACCCTTGCATGTACGGCAATAGTGATGACATTTCTGACAACCAAAGTTCGATTTAAAGAATCCTTCCGGACACTCGGGATGGCATTCGCCAGCCGCTAGTTGCCAGCCTCTCGGACAAGTAACGCATTGATCTCTTCTGGGCCCCGAGCATGTTTTACACGACAAGTAACACTTGGCACATTGACCTCTGTCACTGTAATAACTAAAACGAAAAAGTAAAGTTAAAAAAGACATGTCGATACTGTTTTATTACCAATCTTTTACTGAAGGCTGAACTCATCTTACCCTGGCGCGCAGGACGATCTACATTCTCCGCTCTGCAGTTGCAGCCCGTCTTGACATGCTGTGCAGTTCAGACGAGACACGCAACTCTTGCAAGTGTGCAGGCAAGGGACGCAAACCGGTCGCGATGGTTGTACCACAGAGTAGTACGCGTCGTCGCATTGGGACACGCAACGTTTACCCTGAAGAAGCAACGGGTTCGGGCAGGATATGCAGTGATCCTCCGTAGAGCCGGCGCAGGTCTCACAGGACGAATGGCAGGACTTGCATTGACCATCCTCGTAATATTGGCCCGTATTGCAATTACTGCGACTCTCGGGAGCGCATAAGCCCTTTTTGTTCAGGCTCCAACCCTCAATACAGCTGGTGCAGCTCAGTGTGCTGCAGGTCGCACAGCCGGGTGGACATGCCACACATTCACGTCGCTTCTTGTCCGCGCTATAACCCGCCGGACATGAAGCGCGACACGTGCCTACGACACATTTGTGGAAAACCGTTTAGCGGGAACTAATTATGGTTACAACATTTTGACTGTAATGTAGAGGACGTAATGTAGAGTATCGGATGTACGGCAATTCAAATCTTTTCGTGTAAGCTTTGATATATACATATATAAAATTTAAATCTAACATTTTTATTTCATTTAAGAATTATATATATTTGATGTAATTAAATGAATCTAATTTTTCTTCAATGTAATATTGTTTAAATCTTCATATATTTACATAAAATATTTAAAAGATTTGTAACTGTTGTCAAATATCTTTCCAATTATCTGAAAAGTAAATGCTATGTCCTATTGCAAAATATCTAAATTTTGTAGACTGTCATATTCGTGTCACAAATTAATTATTGAATTTAACAAATTGCCTAACAACTCACCGTTCAAAGCGAACAGCCCGGATCGGCAGGCAATGCACTGGTTATCCGCCGTGCCGTTGCAAGTCTCGCAGGTAGGATGACACGGTGCGCAATTGTAATCTTGCGTCTCGTACGTGTAGGGCGGACACGCGGCATAACATTTGTTCTCATGCATCACCAAATGATGCTCGCAGCTGGTGCACTTGTCCGGTCTGTCCTGGCAGCTGGCGCAGTTGGCTTCGCATGGCACGCACGTGCTGTTCTCGGTATCTACGTGAAAAGATGCCAAAATTCGCGCGTCGCGTTACTCGATGTTGATTTTAAGGAAACAAAATTGGTAAAAAAAATCTGAATACGAATACGAAAATACGAATTGATCTTTTTTCTCTTCCACATACTTTCGTAGTAGCCCTCGGGGCATTGCTGAAGGCAGACTGCCAGATCGGTGACCCGAAGGTGAGCGGGGGCGCACGAGAGACAAGAGTCTTGACCTGCCCCCGCGCAAATTTCACAGGATTCATGACATGGCCAGCAAACGCCGCCCTGATTAGGGAAGCTCCTTGGCGGACAACGACTGACGCAAGTACTGAAAAAGAGGTAAGAGACCCCTCGCGTTGTTTCTAAAGCGCGTTTTCATTGAAAAGGGTCGATGGAGAGTTATAATAAAATGAGAATGATAGACTCATTGAGCTATTGCGTGAAAAACAAATTATAAATACGTAGTAAAAAATATTTGTTTAATAATAAAAGAGAAAAGATTTTAATTAAAATAAAAATAGCTCAATCAATATATACAATGATATTATTATACTTTCTTAAACAGAGCCAGTAGTTTTATGTTCAAATGGTCCTACCGTTATAATCCATAGTTTCGTAGCATTGCAGAATTATATTTTAAATTTTATTAATTTTGTAAAAAGCACATAAACAAAGTTAATGCCAGCATACATCTAACAATCGCGTAACAGTATTAAAATATAAAACATGTAATGTTTTCTAAATGCATAAATATTGGTTTAATTTCACACTTAAGAATCAATAAAAATATGCTAAAAGTCATATATTTTAAGAAGTCTCTTTTCTTGATAGAGACGAGACAATTGTTTCGTCTTAATCAAAGAAACTCTTAAGTTCATCTACTCACTTATCGAGACGATAATTTTTACAAGCAACACATTGCGTCGGACCCTTGCCATAGCAGCCTTGCGCGTCACACTGAGGATCGCAGTCGTGCAGTATCCTCCTGGTGGTATCGAGAGAACCGTCCGCTTGTACGGATGATGGCGCCGAAGGTGAATCGAAGGCAGACGCCGACGAGACGTCGCCGGGTAGATGGTTCGACAGGATCGGCGCCGACGAGCCATCCAGAGTGGCGACGGATGCTTGTAGATTCGACGCGGCACCGCTGTACGGGCCCTGGTAACTCTGAAAGGTAGACGGAGAAAAGAAGTCCCTGTTGCCCGGATAACCGGACAATTGTAGCGGATCATCGTCTACCGTGAATGGATAATGCACGGAATGAGAAGGAAGGTACGCAGATTGATGTACCGGATTAAATTGTCGTGTGCGTATCCGGATCGGGTTCGTCGATGTGCCGTAGAAAATCAGCTGCCACTTCTTCAGGATGCCTGTAACAATATAATAAGAGACCCAAGTTATGGCGAGATGACCTTCATATGATATTACATTGAAAAAACTTTTAAGAATGTGTAAATCGTAAATAACTCTTGATCGTTAAATTCGGACTTTGAACATATTTTATATAAAAATTACAACTGCATATACTTATATTCCTGTAGTTTATGATCTCGGAAACATAATAATAATAGTTTATACATATACAAATTTAACCAATAGTGACGATATCAATGTCAATATCAATTTGAAATGGATATACTCAATGAAAACAAATACGATTGAATATTATATACATAAAATGAAAAATTCTATTTTGCAATTAAAAACAAATATTTTATTTATCTGAAACAATTTATACAAATTGTATAATTTACGAAATTGATGGGGAAATAGGAAATAGCTGGCAATAGTTGGAAAGCACTTGCCTGGTGAATTGACGTGTCGGTTTCCAGCATTAATGATCTGCAGAGTCCATCGACCGTCAGCCTTTTCACCCCAGAAGTGTACGCTGAGGAAGGGCCAGTCATCGAAGTTTGAACTGAGAACGTCGCGCGGCCGCTCGAATAATAGTGTTGAAGTTGTGCCCATTGGCGAGGTCAATAAGAGCCTCAAGTTTCCTCGAGGGAAGAACCTTAGAGAAACCTATTTCATGATCGAGAATTAAAATATTGTACTTTTAAATTGATATACAAAAAGCAGACGTAAATTGTAATACATTGCACTCTTCTAATTATTCTTAGAGAATTAGTAGTATAATTTTTTTTCACAATAAATATAAAAAATGTATAGTAATTTTAAATGTAATCACGAGAACAGTAATTCCTACAATAATTCCTAAGTTAAAATTGTTAACGTAATAATAAATGATTGACCATTAAATAGTAGATACTCTCTTATAGATATAGTATTTATTAAATTACGTGAGTGAGTCAATAAATAATACAGCCACCACTTAATATACACTATCTTGATTTTTGAGGAAAATTAAAGTTATTTATTCTTCTTATCTATCGTAATTATTACTATACATATATGTTGAAACTACAATGACGATTTTTCCCGGCTTGCGATCTTACCTTACACTGCACATGCTCCAAGAATCGTACTTCATTCAAGGATCCAGCGCATCCAGTGACATCCATGTATGCGCTCAGGGTGTACCCATATGTGGGATCAATCGGTCTCTCCTCATTAATCTCATCAGACTTACAGATATGTTGGGGAGGTACATTGGTCCATTGTTCGGCCAGGTTGACCATGGCGCCCGCGTCCATCAAACCGTAGCCGAACTTGTGGGAGACCTTTCTCTTTACACCGTTCAGTATCCAGCCGGGCTCGTTGCTCAACGGCTCGGACCTCGACGTGAGTACCACTAGATATTGCATGTCTCGCCATGACAACGTAGGATTTGCCTCGAGGGCGAGGGCAGCGATACCAGCAGCTAATGGCGCTGAGGCAGATGTCCCGGTGTGTTCTACCGTGCAAATGTGATCAGGACGCAACTTGGCGTCCATGTCCACGGTAGCGACGCTTTTGTCGTTGCCGGGTGTACCCGACGAGTACGTGGATGCCAAGGTCGAGCTACACTCCTCGAGGTACCACGGCTTGTAGCCGCCTTGTGTTGCGCTTGATATCGACAGCGTGAAAATGCTGTTCGTGTAGCCATCGCAGTTGCACGAGTCGGTGTGTCGACCGCCGTTACCGGATGCCCACACAAAGATCGAACCTTTACCCTTGCGACCCTGCGTGGGAAGAAAAAAAGAGTACCACGAATGTTCAGGAAAGAAGCAACGACCGACAAAGCGATAGGATGCGTGTGATTTTATAAAATAACACAAAAATTTATAACAATAATATAATTAGATAATAATAACTTTAATAACTGTATCATTTTAATGTATTATAAAAATAATAATTTCAAAATATTTGGTTTTGGTACACAAAACGGAATTAAATATAAAATAAATTCTGTGCAAGATATATGTTATTAAATTCATATTATTTCAATAAGCATTTGTTTCGAAAAATTAAAAATTAAATTATTTTAACAAAATCATAATATGTGTAGAAAGTTATTTCAATATTGTACAATATCGTATATTTGTTAAAAATTTATGGAAAACAAATTTTTTAACAGAAAAAAACAATTTATAACGCTGTTATTTTTAACAAATTACTTTCTGATACAAACTGATATTTATTTCTAATTGAAAAAATAATTTAACATGGAACTAAACCAATTTAAACAAAAAGTTGGAATTTTTTTTACAATTTTGTACAAAATTCATATTTTGTAAGGTGATACCCAGGCTATGAGTTCAACAAACAAACGTATAGATATAATATATGATAATATATGATAATAATATGAATCTTCATTTATAATCCATAATTTTTATTTGGAGTTCGTTATTTCGACGTACGTCAAGGAGATGTTTTTAAATCCTTCCGAAGTAATAAAATAAAATGTCGAGGGAAAAGCTCTTGCGACAGAAAATAAATTGATCCTCTCGCTTCACGGACGCGCAGAAGGTAGGCGATATATGTAGCTTACGCTCGTCACTCCGTAAATAAACGCCCTCCTGGCGAGAGGGCCCGGACCGTCGACGGTCTTGCCGTCGTCCTCGGGACCCCAGGAGGCGCTGTATATGTCGATGTGATCAGGATTCAATCCCAGAGCTCTGGCCTCGACGGCGTCGTTTACCGGGCCATCGAGCATTCGCACGCCTGAGAACACGGGAGATATGTGCGTGAACAAGTCCCTTCTTCTCTCCTTTTCTTGTGTGCGCAGTGATTTTATCTCACGAATTGTCGTGTGCGGATTGTTAATATCGATTTTAATGCTAGCTGAGACGAGCAACGAGAGTTCGAAGTAATAGAGAAAGAGGAAATGCAGAGTACTCTGATTCAGCAATTAATTTGATTCTTTTTCTCATTCCTCAATTTTTATTAAATTTACTTAATTTAATATCAAGCTTGTATAATTTATATAAATAGTTTTATATAAATTATATTACATGACATAAATATTTTCAATATAATCGCGTGATTTTAATTATTACAATTTTCTATTTATCCCGTTTGTTTTTCTGTCCATGCATTCCACAGCATTCTAAAGTCTGCATAACTAAATATTTGTATAAATTCATTTGACGGAAGATACAAATGAATTTGCATTATTCTGCTTGTTATATTTACAAGTATAATTATTGTTTGATTACTGCACCGAGAACAATTTCTATCCGAGATAATCAGATGTTCAATCGTGATGACCGTAATTCTAATTGATCAGAATCTAACTTCGCTCATTTTTAAAAACCATTTTAATCAAAAGCTTTCCTCAATGTGTTACATTAAAACTGAGAGTTAATTGATACGATTAAAGTAGAGATTCAGTTAAAGTTCATATCGTTTCGATCTCTTTTCTAATGAACAAACATCCTAATAAAACCTCAAGCAAATTAAGTTAGTCTCATTTAATAAGACAAGTCAAATTTATCGAGATTACAAATCGTACCGGTTAAAATCTCCGGATGAAAATAACCGACAAGTTCTATATTTCTATCACGAAATTCCATCACGTTCTAATCCTCGTGCAAAAGTGTCCCGTAGGCAAACGATAGTTAATTATCGCGAAAACCACCGCGTCTCGCGGCTCTAACAAAATTTCCTGCCGATGCTGTATCGAAATTTCTAATTTCGCTGCATAGCGCGCTTGCACGGCCATCAATTTCTCGAATTCAATATCCGGTTAACGCTGCTGTATCGTTCCGCGCTATCATTTCGGCCTCACTCTGTTCCACTCGTCGTAAGCCCCGACGGCTTACGGACGTTCGTTTCGCTTCGAAGTGGGTTAACGGAATTAATACAGCTCGATAGCATCGAGTCGGGAATAGCTGCGAGCGCCCGGAAAACCTGGCCTATTCTTCAGCGAGTCGAGACGATAAAGCGACCACCACCAGACCTGACATTCCCAGCGGTCGCTGCACTATTTATTTCCGTGGAACGATTCGCCGGCTAAGTCAGCGTTGGAACGATCCCAGGAGGATTCGCTCAGTCGGCATAAGAAAAGATAAACACCACCTTCGAGACAACGATGCGAAAGTCTGTCTCTTAAATCGCGCATTAAGTGATTATACCGGCTTCGATGAGAAGCGCTTTCGCAGATGTAAGATTAACGACAGCTCGAATAGACTGCGAGCCCGTAATTGTCGTCAATCTTTCTCGGTGGCGATTAATGTAACGCGCGCATAAATTTCTAATGACCTTTTTACGGAAGAGATTCTCAATTTCGTGCATCTTTTTGTAATTAACGTTGAGAACGAATGGCGAATACACCTCGCGACGTATCTGGATGTTAGACAATGAAACTAAAATATATATCAAGATTAAAACTAAGTTGAAGAACTATCAGGTTTTGGGTTAATTTGAAAATTAAATGGACAAAAGATTTTAGTATATCTCTGTGCCTGGGAGAACCCATCGTCAACGTTTGTACAAGTGAGTTGAGATGAGCGCATTCTCATCATCGGAAATACTAACACACCTGAGTAACAACCTATTTCAAATTTCAACAAAATCCATCAGAACATAAAACGGTTCTACCAATTTCTAGTTTATCAAACGTATAGGAGTATAAGAGAAAGGAAATATTGATCCCTCTCATACATGCGTTATACATTATATGCACTTCATTCAATTTTCGCCGCAAAATATACAGGCTATAATTTAAGATAATAATTCAATTCTTGCATGACTCTAACAACATAATCAAACATGACAACAAATTAAAATTTTAGAAAATCGATATCTTATAAATCGCTTGTTTATGAACAGAAAATTACGCGCTTTTCCCGCATTAAATAATTTTATGTTGGAAGTTTGTTATCTCTTTTTAGATCATCCTATATACTTATGACATCATTAAAAATAAATTAATATACAGAATCAAATATTAACGCGAACAAAAATGATGGAAAGATACTTTTATTTATAAATCAATAGCATTTCCTCAAAATAGTCAGTCCTTTTAAAGTATCACCAATTTCTTAATATCGTATGGATATTTTAATATCGAATTTAATATCGCTGTGATTATTTTAATGATCACATATATTTAGATTTTCGCGATAAAAATTATCATGCTATTTATTCGACATAAACTTTCTTTTCCATGTGATATTTTCGAAATAGCTTTGGAGAATCTTATTATTCCCTTTTCCTTTCCACAATTAATTTCTTTCCACGATTAAGTGTGGTTATTCCTATCTATAGATATTATTTTGATCTCCGTTATAAATGACCTTACCTCCGATACTGGCATTATAAGCGACTCCAACACCGCAGTATTGGTTGAAGGCAACGGCGGCGACTTCACCGGCACACCGAGTGCCGTGCTTATTGTCGCCGTTGTCCCTTGGCATCGGGTCGTCGTCATTATCGTTGATATCCGTGCTGGCCTGGTGATCGTAGTTGAGCGCGAGATCAGGATGGTTGGTCTGGATACCATCGTCCAAAATCGAAACAACGACACCCTTGCCGGTATAGCCCTTCTGCCAAGCCGGGCCAAGATTCATGTCGTAACCATCCTTGGCGCCACCGTTCTATGGCAAAGAAATGTTAAATTTAATTTATCTTGAACTACCTAACAAGAATTTATTTTTTCTCAATCTATTGCAATCATTTTATTATCATTCCTTTAAGTAAAGCACAAGGAGATTTGAGGATTAACTAATTTGTATATTTTAAAATTTATATGGCTGCTCAAACGTTTTCTTTCACTACTTAAACGTATTCCTTAGTAAGATATGTTTTCAAACAGTTGCAGTTCAACTCATTATATATTTACTTGTCGTAAAATATATATAAAAAGTTTTCATCTCCATCTTCATATAAGCTAATATCGATTATATTTAATATATTTATTATTTTAGCAGATAATGATAAATATCTAGCATTTTATGATTATTTTAAAATTTTAAGATATCCATCTCTTATTTTTCGCGAGTCAATTGTTCCAATAAAACAATTTATTACATTAAATACACATTCTATTATATTTCCGTAAACATAAAAGAATTTTACATAGTAAAAGAGCAAAAAATATTTTATTTCAGCCAAAGATTTTGATGATAAATCGCACATGGTGTGGTACATGATTCTTTGACAGAAATTAATTCGCGAATTTCGTGTTACCGTGTATAAATGTTGATTGATATTCGTGTAACGCTATATATCTTCACATGCGCGTATACAATTTCGTGGATTAATGGATTACTAGCCGCACGACAAATTCGGTCACCACAGCTTTCATAACGCGGTCTCCGTTATACTAGGTAAGATAGTAAGTATGTTCTCAACGTCCCAATTAGAAAATTATTATTTTCTAATATTTAAAAAATAATTAATTATTATGGATGCATTAAATTTTTTCTTAAATGTCTACCGTTTTTTTAAAAATTATATTAGTTTTTTTAAAAATGATGTATTAACTGCCTTAGTCAACACACATCAGTCTAAATAAAAATAATCTTGTTTATTTATGACAGTATTAATGAGACAAATAACTGTACTAAAACAAAAACATGGCGTATTTAGTTCATTAATATTGTCATTAAATTAACAAGATTATTTTCAATGAGACTGCTGCTGTATCGACTAATGCTGTTAATAAAATACTGTTTTTTCCGCGTATACAATGTATATAAAATTAATAATCCTATCCCAAAGCTCCTAAAAAGTTTTAATATTAAAAAAGCAAACTATGTCAGATTCCTATCCTGGATTTTTCGATCGCCAAATACTATATCGCGGGCCATAGCTCTCATAAAAACGTCGACGGCGTTAAAATTCCATACGAATTTTGACAGACCTATAGTTTCTCCGATATCGCTATTGGTAGCCCCTCCCAGAGCTACATCAAGCCAGAAAAAAATATATGCAAGACACGATTCGAATAGCTGCGCAACGTGCGATCGTATCCCTTTCATTTTATGCATTTATAATGGATTGATTATTACAGCGGGGTTCCCGCTACGAATGCCGTTTTGCAATTTGTGTGCGTCATGAATTTAAGTAATAAATGCACAATATGGAAATATGCGAATGTTTCATACGTGTTTCCCCAGCGATCGCCACGTATGATCATATCCAAATCGCGGCAAAAAAAGAATTTACGACCGCGCGCAGCGACGCGATAAATTCGTGCGTGCGTAGCATGATATCGCAGACTCCGTAGATTATCCGGCAGGAGAGATGAGCAGTCAAGTAAGCACAACGAACACATCAATCCCAGATAGGATAAACAATCTATCATTCTAATTGATACATGGAACATCTTTATAATATTATCGGTTGAAAAATGATTGTGAGGTAATAAAGAAAAATAGTTTTCAAAATTTTCTGAAATTTAGAAACAATCTAAACTTGGTTATAAAAGAAGAGAATGACGCACAGAAAAAATGGCAAGAATTTTGATGAAATATTTACAAACTTGGCTAGATTTAAATCTGAAAATAATTTTGTTGGACTATTAAAATATATAACTATATAGGATGCTCAACTTGCTAGAATGTCAACTTTTTGTAGCACTGCTTATATCAAGCTTTAGTTTTCTATAATATATACCTAATTATTTTGATAGTCTAACAACATTATTTTCAGATCTGTATCTTTAAAATTTTTAGAGACTTCAACAAAATTGTTCTTTCCGTGCGACTCATTTTTATATCAACTATTACTGCACGCAAGTTTCAAAAAATTTTTAATGCTGCAAGAAATTGCTATTTTGCAACAAATTTTAATTCCGGCGTTGATTACCACGTTTTGTTTGTATATTGAGAATAATCTCGGATTTGTGTTTTGGAAATGCAGCATATGCATAAATGCACGAACGTACGCGAGTGACGCGAAATATTTTTGCGGAATGCAAGAACACGGAGTTATTCTCTAATCTCTATGACTACGTTTTTCTGCATGAACTGAGCAGAATTGGAAGAGATAGAATGGGTGCATTGAATACCTGATTCAAATGCTTTTAATATTTATTTTACATACAATAAAAGCTTTTCTATTTTCACGAAATATTTTACAGCGGTTATAGAAGTACTGTGTTATTTTTCAGGATCAAAGTTGTAAGAAAAAAAAAGTAAATAAAGGAAAAAGTGAAATATATGTAACAATTAAAAATATATAAAAGTCGTAAATTAAAAATCAATTCTTTAACTATACTTTTTTAAAACTTATATTCTTTTCATTATTTTATTAATTTTAATTTATAACAAAAATAATAACAAAATAAATAAACAATAAAAACATTTTTAACAAATAGTTGTTATAAACACAACTTTTATATGTATATAGATTATTTAAATTATAAATATTAACACATTTGTAAAAACAGTATAATCAGTACATCCTTAAATGAGTTCCAACAAATAATTCATAAATTCATAAAAAATTTTTTCAACAGCAATACGCTGAAATCTAAAAATATGAAAAAAATTGTTTTCCCTTTGGAACAAAACAAAAATTATGCCTCGAGAGATATGCAATTCAGGATATTGGTATATAATAGCTAATTGGAAGGTGTTCACTTAGAATTTAACACGAGTCCGCTTCGAGCTATTGCACGAATGAAGTGCATGTAACAGGACAGGAGAGGTTTCTCTTGATCCCGGCTCTTGTACATTACACCCGTAGCTCATCGTGATCAGAGGAGTAGCACGATACGTGCTCTCGTCGCGAGAACATAGCGACGGGGAATTGCGGGGAATGTGCCAATCTCCGTGTCGATGCACCTTTCCCGCTGTTGCTTTTTTACTCGGCCATTCGGGTTCGGGTGCGTCGCACGGTGCCGGCTCCGTTCCAGCTGCAATTCCATTAACTAGATTGCGCATTGTCGTGCTCGCCCGTGAGGAAGACCCGATGGCATCGACGCGTGCCCCGTCGTCCGTGTCAGCGCTTATCTGCGCAGAGATTTTGGCGCTACGAGCGGACCAAGGAGAGACAAAGCGCGAGAGCTCGGTATGCGTTGAGAATGCAACGGGATCAGAACTCGATAGCTCCAAAAGGAGGAAACGTGGTCCAACATGGGTGCAACGTTACCGAACTGCTTGTCGTAGCTATCGCTGTTCCAGCTCGTGGGTACAGAAATTGTCAATATCAAACCGTATTGACTGTTGTCGATACGGTTTGATGAAGAGCATGGAAATCATTCCAGCCACCTCACGTCGCTGTAATAAAAATTTTTGCTAAAAAATAAAAAAAGATAGAAAAAGATCATGTTCGATATTCCACAGTTCTATATATATATTGCGAAAAAATATATTGTTCGCAGTTGTAGTTTATCACATCATATATTACATATGTACCCTATTCACAAATCGACAATTGTTTGTTCATAATTTGTTGCTTACATAATTAAATTTTCGAGCAATAAGTTAAAAATTATTGTTCAAAATTAAGAAAATAATTTGATTTCTTTGCAAATTGTTTCGTATCAGCAATTTTATAAAAGAAGACTACGAATTGATCTCCGCTGATAAAACCTACGAGGATTATAGAATGCGCTCTCTCGAATATAACGATACCCCTTATTTAGGCGCGATCGGTTGCATTGCCAAGTTATTAAAGGAAAATGTCCAAAATAACCTTAAACAAGCACCTAGAAGATCCTAAAAATAGGATATCTTTTATTGTATATGCCAATAGAAATTCATTGATTGAAACAGACAAAAAACACGTAGATACACAATTGGTGAGGCGTCAACATGCTGTTGCTACAACGTCCACCGCAGAAAGCGAAACGCAGAAATAACAAAAAAATGATGCCACGCCTCAATACATAAAACAAACAAAAAAAAACAAATAATACTATACATTATACATTATAATAATAAATATATAAAAATAAAAATTCATATAAAAATATGAAAAGACATAATATTTCCACATATAACAGTACATAAGAAAGGTTCGATTCTTTAACCATCGCATAAATAAAAAAGATAAAATAAAATATATTAAAAGAGTACAAATAAATTTTTTATATGATATTATAGCAAATTTTATTGAATATCAACTTTGTTAATTTGCTCACTATCTCCCGTGCTGACTCCATTATTTCATTATTTATTATATTAAAAGAGATTTCGAAAACTATTCTTAATAAAATAATTTTTATATATTCTGAAACTAATTTTCTTAAAATATCGAAGTATTGACTGTTATATACAAAAACCCAGAAATTTCTGATTGGTATCTTGGTTTTCTTTACGTGCGCGATGCCATCGATCCCTCGGTTGTTTCTTTCTCTCCGACGAATGCAGGCTAAATTATCCGGCGAAAAACGCCAAATTTACGGGTGCTGTATAAGAACGCTATAATCCCATCAGCGTACACAGCAAATGGTGAGGCGGGATGGGTTCGTGCGCACACATTGTGGGTGCATATTGTGCCTGAAGAAAGACAATGCGGCCCATTGTCTCTCGCGACGCGTGCGGTCGACCCGACAAAAAGAGAATAGAGAAAAAACCCCACGGCCGAGTCGGGTTTACAACGAACCGGGTTGCTCCGGTTCATCCGGAGGTACTCTTTACTCCAGCGTCTTCCACGACAAAAGCGAGCTAGACGAAACGTCGTTTCCATGGGATGACCATAGACACAAAAATCTAACAATACAAAGTTCGAAGTACTCCTCTTATATAATATAAAGAGAAGATTTATATAAAGAGAAAAGCGCATTACAAACGAAACTCGATTCTAACCTTATTATTCCCTTTATTGTAAATTTCTGCAAAATTTGATAACGAGATATATCGTAAAATAATTTAAATAAACAATTTTGAAATCTGATACTAAAAAGAAATCAGTAATATCAAAAGTTAATCGCGATTAGATATCTAAGAGGATTAATTTTTCAATAATAGTTTGATATATATATCTTATATAATTTTGATACCTTATATAATTATAAGTTGTTTGTCTACTTTTTGCTTTTGAATATCTTAACTATATTTCTAACAGATATTTGATTTAATCTTTCATTGCAAATCTCTTGCTTATCTAATCTCCAAATTTTTTTTTTATCGATCGCGCCTAAATTTTATTATCCGAGCCTTTATTGTCGATTTAATCCTATATTGTATTATCATTTTACCTATAATAGCGTAAGGCTGAAATATAAAATATATGTATTTGGTTGATATCATATATTTACTGTGAATTTTCATATCAATTTATTATTATTCTTCTTTTTTTATCTTGTTTTCTCTCTCGATATGCATAATCTCGGTAAATTAATAATGTGCACTTAAATATCGCTGCAGTTTGAGAAACAATTATCACATTATCGATATTACATTTTTTAACCGTACCATACATATTCTCGTATATTCAGACATGCAGTGATAAATATCTAATAAATGTCAGGAATAATATAAAACTGGAATCTTGTTGTGGAGATGTCAATGAGAAATTTGCTGAAATATTGATCAATTTGCTTTCGGTTATTTCTGTGTTCGTGTTGCAGACAGGATATCGATATGATATATCTGCACGTACGGAGTATCATAGGTGGTTTATTAGCTTACGTAAGCCCCGGATTCCTATCGCGCCTCAAGCGACGCTCCGGGCATCTCGTAAACGCCTGCATCCTGTGCTTTTATACACGGCAGTTTCCGAGCCCGAGTTTCGAGGGTCGGCATATTTGGGCATTGCTCTCTGCAAATAGAGAGGAGGCCCCAGATATCGGGCGTTCGCCTGAGCTGCTCAAATTTCATATCACCCGATATTACGTCCATTATGCAAAATCGTAATACGCGCGCCCCGCGTTTCTTTAAAGCTCCCTGCTTCCACGCCGTAGCCACATCGAATCACGACGTCAGAAAACGAGAAACGTGGACTTTTCTCCTTGCAATACACGTCGGAATAAGCGAGGGGAAAAAGGAGTTCGAGAGAGTGCAGAATGTATTTTTGTAAGTGCGCCGTTGCGCAAACTGAATTTGTTTATTTTTCATATCGAAAAAGAAATTACATTTATTTTTACAGCTGTCGGTTCGTTCAATCTCGTTCACTTACAAAGTGGCTTATATAATGCAGCATCGCGAATAAATATATAGGTTTTCACAAACTTCCTTTCATCTTTGATTCTTTGATCAATTTGGGGCAGTTTCTTTCTTTAAAGCGAAAATTTTATCGAGCACCCATCCCCTTTCTCAACTTTTTGATATTCAGCTTTGAGTTTCTATATATTTCTTCATCTCTCGAATTAAAATACTGCCAAAGTATACTCGAGATAAAACGAAGGATAAGATTTCCCTCCCGTAAAGGAATTAAGAATTAAAGTAACTACCTCCGGTAATCGCCTGGAGCATTCGCAAGAACAGGCAATCGGGATGTTCCCTTCGTTTTCTCGGACGTTCGCCAATGAAAGTAACCGAACAGCTAGAAGCCGGGACACTCGATATAATCGAGAACTTCTCGGTAAACTTAGGCCGAGACGCCGCACTGGCGGGCGACGCGTCGGGGAATAGAGAGAGAGAAAAGTTTCTGCCGCGCCGGATATATCGGGCGAACCTGCCAAAAGCTAGAGCTACCCCCGTTTCCGTTGTTTCTCGCCAGTCTGCTGCTGTTCCAGACGGTACGGCTGCACGTTATAAGCTGCTTACGTTCTCGCAAGAAAACGCATGTACAGCACAACGCGGGTCCATTAAGACATGACTGGTCGCGCGAGAAATAAGTATACCAAGTCCGGTCGTGCGATACACCAAGTGTCGAGATTTATTGCTCTTACACAGAAATTTCTAGTTTCTCGCGTTTATCCAGTTTCTGTCGTTATCTAAAATATCTCACCATTAAAAAATTAATGTTTTCTATTTTCGTTGATTAATCATAATACGTTAAGACGTTACGGTTATTTTTTAATTTTTTGTAATGTTGAAAATGATTCGATAGAGGTTTGTTTGACATTTTAGTCGATTTTAAGCAATCAACACTTCGCTTGGTTCATAGACCTTTTATTTTTATCTTATTTTTATTAATTTTTTATTTATGTGTTACATAAACGTTAATAAGTTATACTAGATCGCAATATGAATAAATCAAACAAGCAAAAAAGTGTCAAATACGGTCAAGGCTAGATGTTAACTTCATAGTATTGCTAAAATTTTAAATGCATCTTTCATTTATTTAAATTGCGCGCTTATTTAAATCGCAAATTAAAACTGAAATATTAATAGTAATATCATAAATTAAATTAACCATAAATTTAATAATGACCCGAGCAAACATATCAGAACTGTACAGAATTTATTACGAAAAACATCCTTAGTCAGAGTGATATATAAATGTATTTCATATATACATATTTATAATCGGAAATGAGAAAAGAACGTAAAATGTACATAATAGAATTCTATCAAGGGACTTTTATGATGTTAAAAAATTTTGAAATTATCTAATATTCAACAAAGCCAATAAACAATGAAATTAAAATCAAAGATCAAAATGGTTAAGTATCAATCTGATTTTCCAAAAATTTTTGTAAGATTACTATGGCAAAGTAATCTTAATATAAAAAATTCCTATTTGACATTTTTATACATATATATCTTTTACATAGGAGGCACAAATTAATTACAAATTTTAATTTATAACTCGTAATTGTAACGTAAAATATAAAATTTAATACGCAGAATTAAAGATAATCTCTTTTGAACGTTTTAAATAACGATTATAATAAAACATCTCGATCTCTCTGATGCGCTTAACGCGCCAGGATGATCAGGCTGAAGAGTTAGAGCGATTAAGCCAAGCTAGAACGGAACAATAACGCTCCACCCAATAGGATGGCGAGGTCTAAAACAACGTCAGGCGCGTTGTTTTCGATAATCTCAGGCTGGCCCGGGCCGTCAATCGATTCGACAGTTCTCGCTCAATAAGATCGCATTAGTTGCAGCCGCTAATCGGATAACAAACACGTTGATTGATTGTTTATATGGGACCCGAGCTATTACTAGGATAATTGTTTACTCGTCCGGCACGATTACGCGAATCAAGTTATGCGAGTTATGCGAGCGTTTTGCCCAAGATATATACCTTATTCAAGTGCATCGAGTCGCAATGGAAACATCGTCGCGTTTCTCGGTTATTACAGTGCAAGATATGCGATAATTCGGCATAATTACATCGTAACTAAAAATTGAGACGCAGACTGCGTCCAAATTTTCTAATTAATAAAATATGTCAACGTCATGATTAAACGAATAATGCGATTGTAGATGTCATAATAATTGAAGAAGATTTATGATTCCTCCTTAGATTGACATTATCTAATAAAAATGACAGTAAACAAGTCTGGAATATTACTCTTATCATTATTTTCATTCTTTATTACCTATTACTTTTATTCCATTGTTACAATTTCCAATTCAAGGAAACTGCGCGCAGATTATTCGTCGGTCTTGAAATAGTCTTAAATTGATAATGTCACAAGCAATTTAATATTGATTCCAATTCTTTATAGTGTTTGAAATATACACATTAATTATAATTTTTAATTAATACAAACGACTAATATTTCTTTCGTCAGAAAATTTCGGAAAATGAGCATAGTGTAAATTTTTTTGAATTGACATCATCGATAAAGTTTTCTCGAGAAAGAAATAATAATCGGAAATGTCAAGTGATTTAGATACCGTACAGAGTTCTTTCGATTCTCATCACGTATTCTGTCACGGCGGTCCGTCTTGTGGCGCGGCGAGATGTACTTACCAGGTACCACTGTTCCTTGAAAAGCGGGTCCGTGAACAGATTTTGAAGTGGCACGCCTCTGTTTCTTTGGCGATGAAACAGGCCAGCTTGCCGCGGACGCGGACCAAAACCGCCGAAGAAGGGCTGATAATCGGCGAACGCGTAGGACGCGGCGTCAAAGTCGCGCTTCTTGCGCTTCTTCTCATGCTGCTGTTGGAACCAGTGCACCTGCAACCGAAAGCATACCCCGGATCTGCAACGAGCTTTCTTGCGACATCGCTCTATGATCGACTTCGAGCTACGTCATCGCGCTATAAACTTGAATAACTTGGAGAACCGACCTAAAAGCCATTAGCCGCCAGAATACGTTTTGTTATCTCTCACGTCATTACACTAAGTTCCACACGACATTATACGGTAATGTAAGCTGGTATAACGGTCGCAGATTTTCCCAAGTGTCCGGAATATTTCATCAGTGTTATCAGTCAGGTTTTTTTGCTGGACGATATTCACATGTTAATAATATCATAAGCAAGTTACATCAAAAGAAAGGCACTTCAATGGCTTTGGATAAAGTTATTAATCACATGTGATTTTAAATTATCATGCATAATAAAATTTATGTGAAATTTAATTAAATATAATAATTTCTATAATATATGTATTGAGAATTATAATACCGAGAAATATTAAATAGATTATAAAGAGAGAAAGCATTTATTTCTATGTACATCAACTAATTAATCGTTATCTTTATCTATTTATTTTTACAAAATTATTAAAATCTGGATTTATGACGTTCGTATATTTATGAAATGTTTAATGATTATTATAATACATTTGATATTATTTCAAAGAATTATTTTATCAATAATTAAAAAAACAGAAAAAATTTAATTGAGAGAGAGAGAGAGAGAGAGAGAGAGAGAGAGAAGGAAAGAAAGCTAGAGAAATAAAATTATCTTTTTATCCTTTTTTTTTTTAAATAAACAACTACTCGTAGCATCACTGTTGTTTATTGTGTGATTGGCCAGACGGCTATATACATCGCGACACTGCGACGTGGAAAATTCACCAGGGCAGATTGACTCAATCGAGGGTCATAAATCGAACAATCACCGAAAAACGCCTCGGGGAACGAGCTTTAATTCTAGCGCGCGCCGCGTTCCTCCCGTTTCATTCATATCCTCGTGTTGGACCCAGACACGCAATGCGATTCGATGCCCAGTCGACAGATTCACGACCCTCACGCAATTTTGGCGAGGCTCCAAATACGCCAGGATTAACCGAGTTAGTTTCACGGTCGTATTGAAGGCGCGCGCCAATGCAGAAATTTCCGAATTTTCAAACTAACACAATGAGTGTAAGATAGGAAATTTGGTACATGTGCTGCTCCATATCGATTATTGAACATGCTAAAAGTCTCTTAAAATCAAACGATTATGGCAGTCGTGAAGTCGAATAGTAGCAGATGTTGCCGTATTCTCTTATGAATTATAAACAGTTGTAGATAGAAGTCATAATTTCAAATAATAAAGAAAATATCACTAAATATGATCGCCAATTAAGTAGAAATTACTTTGTAATCGTTTTTAAGTTAATTTTAATTATCAATATTTATAAATTTTTATTAAAATAAACATTATATGTTTCATGTAGATATACATATTAACATAAATATTCGATCAAGCAAATTATCAAATAATCCATTTAATCATCGATTCATCAGACATGAGATATTGAATTGTTCCTTTAGGAAAAAAAATTAAATAAAATTTAAATGCCGACATTAATCACTATTCTGACAGCACATCATCTAATAAAAGTTATATGGAATTTTAATTTTCAATTTCAATAATAGTTCGTGTAATAATCCCAATGAAGAAAGTTGTAAAATTCAGACTAAAATTATGTGAAGAATTCTTTATGTATACATATCTTCCTCAATTTCTTGGAAAAACAATTTCTCAAGTAGTGTACGATGCTTTTTCTAACATGATAAAACAAATTAGTGAAAGAAATAAGGTGTTAATAATTCTTTTTCATTCGTAATAAGTTTCGTTTGCATCGATATGAGCATGACACTTTTTCATCAAAATATAAAAATGAGCAATGAAATGAAACATTATAATCGTCTATTTTATAGCGAACAATTAAGCGGTTAACTAAGCGTGTTGCACAATTAATAAGCAGCCAGTCACGATCGTTAGGAAAACGAGAGAGATTTTCCGGTCACGTATCCGTGACTTTGCCAGCCATAAATCCCGGCGATCTCTGGCGCGGCGCGTTCGGAAAAAAATGTATCTCGCGCGGAAATTACCCCCGCACGTTCGTCCCGTGCAAATGGCATTTTCCTCACGATAACGTGTTCCCCGCGAGTACCCAGCTCATAATTAATGCTATATCGCGATCCCTCGTATGCATGCGAAGAGCTGTGCATTTCTGTTTCTTTCTCTCTTTCCCTCTTCGACGCACGATATTTTCCTGAACCACTTCGTCTACCCTTCCACTTCGTAATTTTCACCCGCGAGAAGGAGCTTATCGAGACGAGGACAATGGCGGAAAACGCGGCGACGACAATATTGTCTCTCGAAACAGTGAGATATTTTGCTACGTCCTCGTGAGAGAAGGGACGACGAGGCTTCACCGAGAGTGCACTTAAAGCGACCACCAGGTATTTCCCGCGCGAGTACTAAAGTGATATTATAGTGAAAAATTCGAAAAAAATCTACAGGTACAAGGATGGAATTTCATAAACTATTTATGGCTATGACGGATTTACGATTTATTATCGCTGAATAATAATGCACGTAAATTGTGTCGTCTTTTTCACACAAAAATAACAACTGGAAATATGTATACGTAATAATCCTGAATTAAATGTTAAAAACGTTTTACTACACGGAAAAAATCTAGAAAAATTAGGCCAGATGCCGATCTGAAAATAATTATATTGGATTATTAAAATAATTATATATGGGAGAGAATGTTTAAACGTGATAATCCTGCACAAAAAAAAGTTTTGACATTTAAGCAACCAGTTCGAGTGTGTTCAATATAATACTAAAAAATAATCCAATATAATTATTTTTAAATCTGGATCTAGCTGAATTTTTAAGTACTTCAACAAAATCGTTCTTTCCGTATGCCATAAAAAAATGTTTTTTGTTTTAGAGTTGCAAAATAATTTCTATCCTTGACTGGGATTTTTTTCATAGTTAAAACTCAACGTTTTTTACCACAACGCTAAAATTTAGAACCGAACAAAAACACGTTTCTGGTCAATCAAAAAAAGGAAGACACATTTTGCAATCCTTTGTGAGGTATACCGTTACCGTTGAATATTCTGTCACTGCGTGACAGAATATTTAACTATAAAAAAACTGCATACAAACGGGAGAATGATTTTTTGAAAACGCAAGGGTTACATACTGAGAAAAAATGTAACATTTTTATGATGGGACTTTATTATTTACGTAACATATATTGCACAGCTTGTTTTCAAAACATCTCAGTACAGAACTCATATCCTTTCTAGCCTTTCGATCCTATTGATATTTTCTAGATTTTGTAAATATCTTTCTTTCTCTCTCTCTCAGTTTTGTTGCAAAGATAAAAAAGTATTTTTTCAATAAGATAAAATGGCACGATTACAACAATTTCATAAAGTTAAAATTATTAAAGAAAAATTGTTTTTAACCAATTTGATTGTTAAAAGATTGTTAAAAATCGACGATGGTGAATCTTATTTTTAGAAAATTATTTTCGTCCTTTCAGAAGCCTTAAAATTCACAATTTTATTCTGGGGCTTTTTTCGGCCAAACATTCAGTTCACTAGCCAGAACACGTATTTCTTGCGATCGTTAACGTGCTTTAAACGGACTTGGCCAATTAAGCTGTTTGTCGAAATGCACGCCGCTTTTACGCTGACCGATCGTGAAGAGTTCAAGTTTTACCAAGTGATTTAATAGAGCTTATAGCAATGAATTTTCTGTCCGAGCAATCGTTACAATCGGTTCGTTAACGTGTCGACTGTCCAATAAATTTATAAAACGTTTGTATATACCTATGAAAGAGGTATACACTGCTTGTGATTATAATTATCTTATTCTAATTATATTTATTTCTGTCTTTTATGACTACATACTCCATTATTTCGCTCTTCACACGCAAATTTAATATTAAATATAACTCCTTCCTTTTTAGTAAAAGCAAAGTTCTTAATACCGTAACTAAAGCTAATTAAATTTTTCTTTCATTTCACAGACCTGGAATAAATCTACCATGGCTTTCAAACATTACGTCTTACTCTTTGAGTATGAATCAAATCTCGTTCCCGTGTGCATCTCGTAATTAATGTCTCTTAATTAGCGCAGAAACAAGAATATGTCGACTTACCCGCGGTTCATCCCTGAGCGCCTTGTGATGTGGTTCGCTCGCAGTGAGGGATCTCTTGTGTAATCGCTTGTGAGAGAAGAGGTAATAATTCTTCAGGGCACCGATCTGAAACCGAGAAATAAAGCATTCTTATTGTCATAATTCGAGTATGGCTCGAGAGAATTGGCACCGCGTCCTCGTGCAGACGTAAACATGAAGAGGCAAGAGGGTGCTCGCAAATCTCCCTCTCTTGCGACTTTTCGATGGCATTTCGATGGTCTTGCGACTCGATATCGTTTCGACTCACAAGTTTGGCAGTAACTCTCGAAGTGTCGTTCCTGAATTATATGGCGGAACTTGCTAAATCTCGTCTACATTCATCGCGGTGTTTTCTGCAGACGATAAATGTTTCCCCTAACACTTTCGCCCATGATAGATAATGTAATCATCGTGAATAAGCATGAGAGAAATCTAATTTGTTTGAATTTCTTTATCAATCAGCATAAAATAATAATGAAGAACTAAAATTGATACAAATTCCAAAATAAATAACTGAAAAACTATACTTTGTAATTTTCAAATAATATTTATTAGTACAATTATTTATGTGATTTCGAAACATACCATGTTTCATTAACATTAATAATATTAAGGATAAATATATATACATATTGGATAGAAACTCTTTCATTATATTAATAACGATAAAATTATCGTAACGAGAGAACGGCATCAATAACTGATTTTTCAAGTATTGTTTGTCGACATCAGTATCAAAGGCTTCTGTTTTTGAATTCAGCAAGCAGAGATTACCGAATCGAAAATTAACATTAATGAACGACACGCACGACGGCGCTTGCAACATTGCCTCTCATTTTAGAAGTTTAACGCGATCCATTAGAGATAATTGGCAGCTTATTGAACGCCAGACGGTTATAATTATATCTATATGTATAGTGCGACATTACGCGTCGTTAAAGAGTAGTGACGTTTCAGTTTGGTCGATAGAAGTGTTTGTCGATAATTCTAAGCGCAATCATGCTCTAATAATACATCAAAAATAATTAATAAGCTACTCCAATCATTCGTCTGTTATTTAAAGTAAATTAATTATTTATCTGATAATTAATTAATTACTAGATACTTATCCAATTAACAAAATGAAAAATAGGAAATGTTAAGGACTGTGTGTGTAATACTGAACATACCATTGTTGCTTCGTCCATCTGATATCAATATTTTAATGGTAAAAAGCTAAAGAAATTATTCTTTTCTATATTTACGTAAAAAACTTTTTACAGCATACATATATCATTTATATATACATATTCATATGTATTCTCTTATATGAGTATACTTTTTAAAATAATTAACTAGCTTTAAAAAAGGTAACTGAATTTGCAATTTAAAAATTAAATAAATTTGAATTAGATTAAGAAACTATAGACCTGATATACGATATTATGCTTTTCTTACTCTGCGTTATTACATAGTGCTTTTTTACAATACTAAATAACCTATATGATGTAATGTTTTGTGCAAACAACAGCATGTGTCTATGATTCACAAGCACAGTTTCCGCATTACTCTGATATGATCCGACTCCGAGAGGAAGTCGTAAGAACCCATGCTTTTGAAACGGCGCAACTTTCGCCAGCGGAGTTTCCGGAACTTAGCCGAAACGGGAATCAACCAAAACTGCATCGCACCGCGAAGTAGAATCACTTCCCGAAGCTGTTTTTGCGCCACCGATGCTTTACACGTGTCGCCTACTTGAAATTCTTCCACGGCGCCTGCCTTCCGGAGCCGCGACTCGAAAATTGAAGAGCAATTCGCGAGGAACTCGGGCGCGATTTGCAAAAAAGGAAGAGAGAGCGCGCTTTATTTTATCATCGAGCTTTACCCGAAATTTCGCGGTGAGCTCGAGACAGCTACTCATCGACGTTCTCCGGACTTCTTGAGGATCTAAGTAGCGCAAGAGTGGCAAAGTGCATCACTTGCTCCTCTCAATCTCGAGTTATCTTTCGTGTGAAAGAGGATTACTTGCCCTAGTTCTTTTACTTTAGCCATTTTTATCTCTTCAAAAACACAACGATGTATATCATGTGCGTTTATTTGAAAAACTATGAACTTGCTCTTACTTCATAATAAGGCAATACTTTAGAAGCTTAATATTTTCTTCATAATGTTACACTTTATCAAATTTTATATATCAGTTAATCAATAAATGTAAGTTATTTTTATTCTACAGATTAAGAAGGTTAAAATGTTGTTTACTATATATTAACCTTTTTTAGATATACTTTACGGGAATCAACTCATTTTTAATCGTTTATAACTTGTGGATTTCGAGCCATAAATTTCAAACATTTTTATGCGCCAAGAATCAACTGACCAAAAAATTTTATTCGCGTGAATGCCGGTTTCATGCTACACTATGTAGCCAACAAAGAGTGAGGCGCGGAAGGAGATGCGATGAGACTATCGCTATTTCTCGAAGATATTTCGCGGACGTGATGGAGCATGCCTCGCCAGCTTCACTAGCAGGCGTTATATAACTCGGCTGGCGACGACGCCGGAAGGCCCGTTCGCATATTTCCGTATTCCGCCAACAATTTTACGTCTAACTTGTGCGCGGCACGCTCGTTGGCTTTATGACGCAAATTTCACAAGGGCGGGTCAAGGACTAGCTTGAGGGCTTCTTCCTTCCGAAGTGCGGTCGAACGGCGTCCGTTGAAATTTCTCGCTCAACCATGCGGAATTTTGATAATATTCCCAATTATTTCGCGGTCACGGAAACAAGGCTGCCAATAATATTTAATCTTAAATTCGATCATGTATCCTACAAAATATATCAACGTTTATATACTTGCAAAATTTTGTTTGGTCAATAAATCCATTAACTGTTTATTTTACGATTGTACAAATCGTAATTTGTATAATCGTAAAATAAACAGTTAATAAATTTATTGACAATAATTTATGGTATAGAAATATAAATTCAGCTAATTAAGAAATTTACGTAATAGTAATTTTTATCATTTTTAACAAAAATTCATCATAAAATCTCTATGGTTGTAATGAAAAAAATTATGTGTAAAATCACAATTATTAGAGATAAAAGTAAATTTTTTAAAAACGTACAATTAAAATTTTTCCACTATAAATTAATTTTTTTACAAATATTATTTATGTAATTTTACATACTTTATTATACAATACACATATACCTAGTATTTTTTTCTTAGTAATTCTAAAATATACGTTCTTATAAGTTTTAGAAACGTTGAATTCACGGATAAATGGACTTTCTCGCTATAGATATTACTGGCGATCGACTTTCTTCATGAAGATGACGACGTAAACGCGAGGTCACGTCGTCGCTACTAAAAATGACGAAGCGCCCAACTTTGACGCGATCTCTCGCTCCACCATCGTAGAGACTTGGAGACTCTACAGAGGAGAATTTTCCCGTGCGTTTGTTACCAGTCGCGTGAGTGATAGTCCCTCTCCGACCTGCTTCTCTGGCTCTATGTCATCCGCTCCATTAACGCCTTACTTCCAGTTTCCAGCTGGAAGGCGGTGCAATAAAGCCAGGAAGACGATGGCGAATTGGACTGATTCGTTTCCGGTGCGATTAGCGTAGAACCTACCGCTATATGAATCTTCAGATCATCGCCGCTTTTGTAGTGTTCCATTGTGAACAAATCCGTCCAACTTGAAGTAATTCAGTCTGAACGATTGCAGGCGATATCAGTTAAAAATCACATACGAGATCAGCGTGAATAAAAAAAAAAAGATAAAATAAAATCAATGTGCTTAACGATCTTCGAAAATCGAGGTTTTCGTAGCACAGTTCTCGATAGCGAAACCAAATAGAATCAGGGCAAATCGGTTGAAAAGCAAAGTTTCAATGGCGATGACCGACGTTTCTTTCGAGTCGTAGAATCGTGTACCACTCGCAGCATTAGCCAAATCCTCGATTCGCGTCGACCTTGGCGATCTTCCTAAAATCCCTTAAATCCATCCGGTAGCTTTTCTGGAAGCGATAGTGCCGTCGCGTTCTCGCTCGCCTTCTTCAACGCGCCGCCGGTAATCCCGATGGGAGATACTCGTCGCGGCAGCTGCGCGCGGGCGGGAGTAAAAAGACGAGAAAACGGATGAGAACGGGTGGTGACGGTGGTACAGGAAGCGGAGGTGGGAACCGACATAGAGCGTAGCACAATGCAGCGCAATTTATTAATACTCTGGGACTCGTAGCGCCCTTAGGACCAAACGGTGAAATAGATATGCCAGCCGAGGTGGGCGAACGAGCGAGTGAGCGAGCGAGGGACCTGTTACAAGCTTGAACGGAAATGTCAGGACAAAATGTCCTGTACGGAACATACGGCGCAATCTGCGAGAAAGTAGCGGTATAACCAAGCGCGGAAAGACGTCAATCGTATCGTAAAACAAAACGGTCTTCCATTTAATTTCACGTGACTTCGCCTGAACGGAATTCTTATTTAAAAGTTAGTCGATCGCGAAGACACTTTGGGGGATGTGGAAGACGTGATAGCTGTCGAGAAAGGCTAATATAATTAAGATTTAATCCAGTAAAATCGATTGACTGTGTGAATTATATGTGAAAATTACATTTATAAATTTAATTAGTTTTTATTTGGCTGTTTTAATTGGCTGTAGCAACCAATTTTTGGTTGCGTTAGCCAATCGAAATCTTATACTGACATTGCGGATAGGCTAATACAACCAACAATTGGCTGCAGCATCCAAAAATTGGCTGTTGCAACCAATTAAAAATGCTATGCCATGTTTTACCATCTAATTTGCTGCAGCAGCCAGTCTTTTCTTTCAGTGTAGACCCTAACGAAATTACGGATTTAAAATTGCTTCATTTTTTGTCATCTTATAGTCAGGAAGAAAAATTGACATCAAGTACGTCAAAGGGATGTCTGTCATTAAAGATTAATACGGTAGGAACGGGATATCCTAGATATAGCAGAATCTCTTTTACTCTGTATACACTTTCATATATTCTCGTGTATTTTTGAAAGCTGATCCACGCCGTTTTCAGCGTGACTAACTTTTATAAGGATCTCGCGAACGTGTACGGGGCGGAGAAAGCT